ATCAGTGAGGTCATATATTACATGTCTTTCTCTGACTTATTTTGCTCAGCCTAACACCTTCTAGTTCCGTCCACGTCATTGCAAATGGCAATATCTCATTCCTTTCAATGGCTTCATAATATGCCTTTGTATATATACACCACATCTTCTTTATCCATTCATCTGTCAATGGACATCATGCCTCTTTTCACAGTTTGGCTATTGTGGACATTGCTGCTATAAACATCGGGGTGCACGTACCCCTTCGGATGCCTACATTTGTATCTGTGGGGTAAATACCCAGTAGTGCAATTGCTGGATCTACCGTATGGTAGCTCTATTTTCAACTTTTTGAGGAACCTCCATACTGTTTTCCAGAGTGGCTGCACCAGCTTGCATTCCCACCAACAGTGTAGGAGGGTTCCCCTTTCTCTGCATGCCCGCCAACATCTGTCATTTCCTGTCTTGTTAATTTTAGCCATTCTGACTGGTGTGAGGTGGTATCTCATTGAGGTTTTGATTTGGATTTCCCTGATGCCAAGCGATGTTGAGCACTTTTTCATATGTCTGTTGGCCTTTTGACATCTTCTTTGGAAAAATGTCTGTTCATGTCTTCTGCCCATTTCTTGATTGGATTATTTGTTCCTTGGGTGTTGAGTTTGATAAATTCTTTATAGATTTTGGATACTAGCCCTTTATCTCATATGACATTTGCAAATATCTTCTCCCATTCTATAGGTTGTCTCTTGGTTTTTTTTTTTTTTTAACTGTTTCCTTTGCTGGGCAAAAGCTTTTTATCTTGATGAAATCCCAATAGTTCATTTTTTTCCTTGCTTCCTTGCCTTTGGCAAAGTTTCTAGAAGAAGTTGCTGCAGCTGAGGTCGAAGAGGTTGCTGCCTGTGTTCTCCTTTAGGATTTTGATGGACTACTGTCTCACATTGAGGTCTTTCAACCATTTGGAGTCAATTTTTGTGTGTGGTGTAAGGAAATGGTCCAGTTTCATTCTTCTGCATGTGGCTGTCCAATTTTCCCAACA